CTGTTTGGGGAATGGTTTAGATAACCTTCTATTCAGTAAAAGCAGATACCAGTATTTTGTGCTCTGAATTGAACTACTGCTTTCTAGTAATCCAACGAATGATGGAAAATCGGAAGCCCTTTTCTCTGAAAACGACATTATTTTATTGGAATGGTGCACTAGCCATCTTCAGCATTCTGGGATTGATCAGATTCGGCGAGGTAAAAAAAAATTTCCTTTATTGGTTTGAAAGACTTTGAGAGAGGATGATTGAAATAGCTTTGCAACAAATTTTCTAGTTGCTTCCAGAAAGCTTCTTTGAATTTCAACTGTGTCTCTTTCAAACTATAGATTTTCCAGGACTTTCTACAATCGCTTTACAAACATGGCTTTTACCGATCCGTGTGTTATTCTTGCCATCCAAATGATGTTGCAGCTTTTTGGAGCTTTCTATTCGCTATATCAAAAGTAAACAACACGGAATTTCTTCCATCACTCAAAAAAAATTTTTTTGCAGATTGTTGAACTCGGTGACACGATGTTTATTGTTCTGAGAAAGAAACCATTAATATTTCTGCATTACTATCACCATGCCGCTGTCCTCATTTATACGATACATTCTGGTATATTTTCTTACTGGCTGAAATTTTCGATAATTATTCTGCCAAGAAAATTAACATTTTTTTGCTGATAAAGAAGCCTAAGAATATTTCAGGTGCCGAACATACAGCTCCGGGTAGAGCTTTTATCTTTATGAACTACCTAGCACATTCAGCGATGTACTCTTATTACGCCATAGTCGCATATGGTCTGCGATTACCAAAATGGGTAAGTGAACTCTTTCCTTTCTCTAGTCATGCACAGAAGAATGAATTACTACACTTTACACTTATGTGCTTGCATGGATTCGTCTATCTACTGTTTCTTCCCCTTTCCCCGAATGTTCATAGCACGCCAAAATTATGACTCCGCCCATGCCACGCCCCTTTCTCCGAGTTTTAAAAGAAAATAGAGAAAGGGGAAAATGTTATGCCGCAATGTTTCTTTAGTTGCAATTCTTCGATGGGTAATTTCAATATAAGGGGCACACACAAATTT